TTGCACATTCTTCCTGTGTCTGTGCGGGTTTCCTCCGGGTGCTCCAGTTTTCTCCCACAGACCAAAGATGTGCAGGTTAAATGGATTGGCCATGCTAAATTATCCATAGTCCCCAGGGATGTTTAGGTTAAGGGAATGGGTCTGGGTGGGATGCTGTGTGGACTTGTTGGGCCACAGGGTCTGTTTCCACACTGTAGGGATTCTACGATATCCTATCTGCCATTTCTTTGCCCACTGTCCTTGTGTTTCTCAGGCCCCCTGTGGCCTTTCTCAGCCCAGGCTACACCCAAAGCTGACTCAGACACCTCTCTCGCTGGCTGTACAGTCCTCCTTTATAAAGCACAACTTGTGCATGGAAAGCAGGCATTGCTGGTAAGGCCACTTGTCCTCTAAACTGAGTGGCTCACTTAGCCATTTCAGAGGGCAGTTAAATATCAACCACATTGCTGTTGGTCTGGAGTCACGTGTAGGCCCAGACCAGCATGGACAAGAAGGACCTTAGTGTGCCAGATAGAGTTTAACAACAAGCAGGATTAGGCTATTGAGTTGGACGATCAGCCATGATTGTGATGAATGGTGGAGCAGGCTCGAAGGGCCGAATGGCCTCCTCCTGCTCCTATCTTGTATGTTAATGGTTACAGTAGTTCTCAGGGTTAATGGGATCCAAGAGTACAGGGAGAAAGGGGGAGCAGGCTACCGAGTAGGATGACCATTTCTCAACTCTCAGAGATCTACAGCACAGAGAAAGGCCCTTCGGCCCATTGTATCCATGCCAGTCAAAAACAACTACCGATTCTAATCCCATTTTCCAGCACTTGGCCCCCAGCCTTACACACCTTGGCAATGCAAGTGCATATCTAAATACTTCTTCAATGTTATGAGGGCTTCTGCCTCTCCCACCCTTACTGGCAGGGAGTTCCATTATCATATGGAATGGTGGAACAGGCTTAAAGGGCTGAATGGCCTACTCTGTGTTCCATGGAGGCTAGCTTTACATTCCAGATTTTCAATGATTCAGATTTCACCATCAGCCATAGTGGGGTTTGAACCCACATCGTCAGGGCATTAGCCCAGGTCTCTGGATTTCTAACAGCGGTCTCTGTTTCCAGCCGTACAGGCCTCTGAGATCCATGTGCAGCAGTGACCCCTAGAGGTAGCAGTCAATGCTGCAACCGCCATGATCAGAAACCTGGGGTAACCGCACAGCTTAAAGGGAGCATTGATTCATAGACCAGTGACAATACCACTGTGTGACTGCCTCCCCTAGAGTGTCTGTGTGAGTGTGTGTGTGTGCGAGAGTGTGTGTGTGCGAAAGTGTGTGTGCGAGAGTGTGTGTGTGTGAGTGTGTGTGTGAGTGTGTGTGTGTGTGAGTGTGTGTGTGCGAGAGTGTGTGTGTGTGCGAGAGTGTGTGTGCGTGCGAGAGTGTGTGTGTGCGTGTGAGAGTGTGTGTGAGTGTGTGCGCGTGAATGTGTGTGTGTGTGAGAGTGTGTGTGAGTGTGTGAGTGAGTGTGTGTGAGAGGGTGAGTGTGTGTGTGTGAGTGTGTATGTGAGTGAGTGTGTGAGAGGGTGAGTGTGAGTGTGTGTGTGTTTGTGTTTGTGTGAATGTGAGTGAGTGTGTGAGTGAGTGTGTGAGTGTGAGTATATGTGTGTGAGTGTGAGTGTGAGTGTGAGTGTGAGTGTGTGAGTGTGAGTGAGTTTGTGTTTGTGAGTGAGTGTGAGTGTATGAGTGTGAGTGAGTGTGTGTTTGTGTTTGAGAGTGAGTGTGTGAGCTCGTGTGTGTGAGTGTGAGTGAGTGAGTGTGAGTGAGTGTGTGTGTGTTTGTGTGTGTGTGAGTGAGTGTGTGTGTGTGAGTGAGTGTGAGTGTGTGTGTGAGAGAGTATGTGTAAGTGTGAGTGAGTGTGAATGTGTGAGTGTGAGTGTGTGTGTGTGACTGAGAGTGAGTTTGAATATGTGTGTGTGAGTGAGTGTGAATATGTGTGAGTGTGTGTGTGAGAGTGAGTGTGAGTGTGAGTGAGTGTGAGTGAGTGTGAGAGTGTGTTTGTGTGAGTGAGTGTGAGAGTGTGAGTGAGTGTGTGTGTGAGTATGTGTGTGTGGGTGTGTGTGAGAGTGTGTGTGTGTGTGTGAGTGAGTGTGAATATGTGTGAGTGTGTGAGTGACAGTGAGAGAGTGTGTGTGTGTTTGAGTGAGTGTGTGAGAGTGTGTGTGTGTGTGAGTGAGTGTGTGTGAGTGTGTTTGTATGAGTGTGTGAGTGTGTGTGTGTGTGAGAGTGAGTGTGCGGTCACTGTGACACACTGGGGAGTGGCACTCACTGAGAGACGAGTTGGAGCAGAGTTTCTTGTCATAGCAGGAGAATCCCTCCCTCGCTCTCCAGCCGTAGTTCCCCCCTCTCTGGATAATGTCCACCTCCTCAAACTTGTTCTGGCCCACATCGCCACAGAAGAGGCGCCCCCTTCCCGCTCCGGTTACTGCGTCGCCCCGGTCCACCGAGCACCTCCACATGTTCCTCACTCCGTAGGCGTAGACCTCGGGGCGCGCCGCCCTCTCCCGCACAAATGGATTGTCGGCCGGGATCCGGTATGGGGGCCCAGCGTCGTTGTGGTTAACGTCAATACGCAACACCTTCCCCAACAGGGACGACCTGGGGTTGGAGGGAGGGGGGTCGGTGGGGAGATGGGGAGAGGTGGAGGGGGTGGGGAAGAGGGAGAGACGGGGAGGA